GAATCAAAATTAAAAAGAGGTGAAATAATTATTATAGGATACTATAATAAAAAATAATTAAATTAAATAAATAGTGTCAGCAGAACTTAACATAATAAAAAAAAAAACTAAAGAATGAGATAAGAGAATTGGGACAATAAATAATATTATTTTTTAAATCTTCTAAAGCGAACCACACTTTTTTTTCTTTCCTTAAAATTGATATTGTGGTCACACGAAAAACACTGTTGGACAGTGACTTAATTAAACCTAAAACAAGATACAAAAAATTATTATAAAACAATTAAAGAAGAAAATAAAAGTTAATAATACGGGTGAGAAGTTATCCTGGCTGACATTGTTGCGAGCAGAAAAAAAGGATATCAATTCTGTGTGGCTGTCAGCTCCGGGATGACATAATCCCCTCGTCGATTCCCAGGTGGTGAATTCTATATGAATGGACACACACGACACACACACCAACACCACACACACCACACAGCACACACACACACACACACACACACAGCACACACCACACACACAACACACACACACACATCACACACAACACACACCACACTAGACACACAACACACGACCACACACAACACCAGCTGGAGTCAGTAACAAATGGCACTGGTAATTCCAACAGACACAGGAGTGCTTTGGTCGCACACTGTGTACATACTGCCAGCAGTAATGTTCGACTGAGAGCTTTCTGTTTAGAGTGCGTGACGCGAATAAACAGACCATACCTACTATTAAAAATGGTCGTGAGTCAGTAACTGCTCCAACTGCTATGTTTAAAGTGTTATTACCAACAAGTAAAACAAAGCCACTGGGGTGCTTTCAGTTTGCTTTAAATCAGTTCATCGAGCCGGGATGTGCGGATACGTGTCAGCTGTAAGTCATATGATCTTCAAAATAAGAGCCCACACTTACAATCCAGCCAATGTGGGAGCAGCTATTTTTAGACAGAGTGTGGACACATACATATGGTATTTGATTAGATCTGGTTTCAGTAAACAGATTATGATCAAGTGTAACTGCAGCCATTGATATTTTTTTCCATCAGATCATAGCGATTTAGTTATAATCAGAACTGATGAGTTAATGCAGTGGTTTCCCAATCTTTTTCCTTCAGGAACCCCTTGTATATCACTGAGTAAGCTGACAACCCTTCACTAAGTGACATATTTTATTGATATTTCACAATATTCAATGTAAACAGTATAACAGTACAGAAGAACTGAAACTGTACAATTAACCCAAAACTGTGAACACAATTAACTGCAGGAAGTTTATGTCAAACGAGCAATTTGGATGAATTGTTAGCAGATTATTTCCTGTTAATATTACATCAAAAATGAGTTGTCTTGATATTTAAGGAATGTTTTATACAGTTCTCAGTCTGTAGTATATATATATTTTACAATCATACTTATAAGCTTCTTTTTTTGACAAATTCAGTGTTTTCTTTCTCTTTGCTCTGGTTAATTTAACTGTACTTTTCTAATGTAGGACGAGGCTGTTTATCAGGGAGTGAAGGCTCTGAATATAGATTGTTTTCAGGTTGTCACCGTGCCCTTAACACTTTAGATGTTAAATAATAATCTTAACCTTAAAAATACCAATTTTATTTAGTGTCTTCACAGAAATGAATTAAATGCTGAGACAGGGGCCTACTGTGTATAATTTTAAAGTTTTGTTACATCCCATAAAATCAAGAAGGCCTTACGACCTCTTGTGAAGTGTTGGTGATCCCTAGTGGGGTTCCCAACCCCCACATTAGGAACCACTGAGTTAATGCATGATAGTGTGATTAGACTATTCACATTAATAAGACACGTATCATTGCAGGAGCAGTTTATCTACAGTTAGACTCCCTTAGATTTAAGGCAGCTATTTTTTATGTTTTTTTATAAGAGTTTCAGTTCATTGTTTAATTGTCTGACTGCAACTTTACTGTTTTCACGCTGACAGGAGTTTTTGGCCACAACAGAAGGTTGTTTTCACCTAAAAAATCTAAAAAGATCAAAGAAGAAACAGACCGAGTTAGCAACTTGTTGGTGACGAAAGTGGAACATCTAGCATCATCTACTCTTTCTCAAGAGTCGATGGAGACTGAAAGATAAAAGCAGAATACTGCACTTTTATGAGGTGGCCAGAAACACGACTCAAAAGAGATGTTAATTTTGTCTGCTAGGTGTCTAAGATGTTACATTACTCATAACAAATTTATATTATATATTATATTATGTTATACACAATATTGTGATCCACCCAACACTTTCTGGGAAAAACATTATTATGATCTAAAGACTAGCTTGGTTTCTGGTTTATAATTTGAAAATATAGGGGAAAGCAAGAATCAGTATTACTGTAACTCCTGCAGAAATGTCCTTTTTCTTTAAACAGTAACTATTATAATGTTGAACGAACTGTGTCAGTGTATGTGTACTCAGCTTCAATACCTACCACACTGCAGTCAGAATCTTAATGCTCTTTAAAGTGTAAAACAGCAGCGCCAGTGGCTCTGTGATCTGCTGTTTACTTTCTGCCTACACATCAGTCTGTTAGATGGCTTTCTGGCAGCGTGCACACACATCATACACATCATACACATCTCTCTCTCATACACCGCATACACACACACACACTCTCATGAAGTTATGCATTTCCCCTCTGGCTGCCAAAGTATCTCAGAAAACTCTTCTCAGAAGTACCGGAATAAACCTGGGAAACCCCACACCGCCAGTCGTGTCATTATCACACACTGATTTCCCGCTCACCTTCCTCCCACAAACACACTAGCTCATGATTTGCCTTCCATCCCCTAAAAAACAACACACACACACACTCTGATCACAGTAAAAACACAGTTGTCTGCAGGGATACCTGCTGCTTTAGGAGACAGACAGGACTGATAATTGAGTCAGTGGTTTTGGAGCTGCAATGTTTGGGTGTGAATTATATCAGATACTCACCAGTGCCTCCGTCACCGCTGAGTCTCTGCAAACACACAAAAAAAACACATAAATGTATTTTGTTTTTGTACAACTAGTAACTCAGACTGACGCCAGTAGCAAAGAACGAGGATCAAGATTCAATTTCAGAAAATCGGGGCTTGTAGAGCACAGCATGTTTGTTATTTTTCTGTGTGTGTGTTTGTGTGCGTAGAGTGACTCGCGTAGAGTGACTCACGTAGAGTCTGGTTCTTTGTCCCTCTTGCCAAGGCCGGGGATCCTGAAGGCTTTTGCTCGACTCTTCTTCCCACCTTCAGGTGCCAGAGCTGTCATGTACTCCTCAAATCCAACCAGAGCTGCAGACAACAGGCAGTTTGATATGAATAAAACACACTCACATATACACATGTAGTCACACTCGAGAAGTTGAACCGCTCACTCACTGTTGTATTTTGTCACTATGAAATATTCCGCCTGCACAACACTGTTTGGAGCGTGGGTGTTTTTATATTACTCTATTGTTATGCAAGCTGCTCAAGTTGTGTGCGTTCTACCAAAAACAAGCTGAAAAATGAATCCTGTTGAGATGACTGTACCTGGCCTGTCTTTGCCTGTGCCCTTCTGCTCCGCAAATTTCTGGACGAGGTTATCGATTCCAATGTTTTCCACATTCTGCTTGAATTCCTCGTGGACCTGCAGCAGAGCAGAACAGAATGATTACTCGGTCCCTTAAATAGCATGAAACATTAGAAAGGATGCCATGAAAAATTATTATTTTTTGTTATCAAAGCTCAGTGTGATCCCTTTTTATAGTTAACTTTTGGATTTATACCAGTGTTGTAATCTTTTGACCTCCTCTCCAAAAAACAAACAGACCCAGGGGATTAAAGGGATCGGTTGCTAATGTTAGCTTACATTGTTTATCTTATTACTTAAAATCAGACTAAAATCCCTAATTGTGGTTAAAATATATAGCTAAAGACAACCAAGATCTAAAAATGTTGCCTAAAACTGTGTCGACCACAACACTGATGCATGCACAAAGAAGATATGACGCTATTGACAGGTGACTGGTGAAACGCACCTTTACCTGAATAAAATGATGGACTGAACATTGTTGGAAACATTTGGGATTATCTCAGTACGTAAATCTACTGTTTATATAAATTTTAATGTGAAAATGTGACATATTATATCTTAAAGTTGCACATTTAATACCCTCAGCAGACACTAGAGCCCTTGTTGGAAATATCGAAAACATTTTTCCACTTTTAACATGTCTGCAAGGACTAGACAGTGTTCATTTGTTTGTGTTTAAAATCATCAATCGCACAACAAGAGGAAAAAAATTGTAACAGCCAATTCTGACTATCTGACCAGGCAGCCATTGTTGAGCCAAGTTATCACACTGAGCTATAACTAAACATTACTCCAAGGGTAGCCGGATGAAAGAAACTGTCGGTGATGATGGCTCATGATTCAGTCGTTCTACTCTCGGATCCTAAACTATGACACACTGAGCCAGACTCGCATACTTTCGTTTTAATATAATATAGAAATTATATGAATATAAAGAATAAATAAAACATTCAGACTTTGAAGAGTAAGGACAAACCATACCTGCCCCACTTGAACATGGGTGTCTTCTATGGAGTGGGAATAAGCTTTGATCAGCTGTTTCATCTGCCGCAGGTGGGCCTCCTCGATTTCCTGAAACTTCTTCTCACACAAACATGCACACACACACACACACACAGACAGACACACACACACACACACACAGCAAAGAAAGAAAAAAAAAAAAAAACCTCTGTTACTATGTGAAACCTCAAAACTCCACTGTTGATTAATTTCTCGTTCTCTGTGGGGATGACATCTTTTGCTGACCTTTTGTGGTAATTAAATCCTTTAAAACCAACCAAATAACATCAAAAGCTACAAGGCGGTCTGTGCAGGGTTTCTTTGGTGTTGTGTGTTTTTTTGTGTCATTTTAGTTGCCTGATTGTCTTGTGTTGGTGTGTGTTTTGTTCATTTTTATTCATGTGGTCATTACTGTTTGCTTCTGGTTTGAGATTCAGGAGCATTCAGAGAAGTAACCAATACGCAATATAGTGGAAAAGAGCCTTGAGATCTGAGGATTTAGCTACAGAGACACAGCCAGCGAGCAGAAGAGGCTCTGGGTTGCCAGGTCTTTAAACCAGCGATAATTCGAGAGGATTTAGTATTTGAGTTTGATCCTGCTCCTTATACAGCCGGCTCATTTGTCGCTGTCTAGTTCAGGGGAATCGTCTTGATATAGTGCCATTGGCTTTTGTTCGAGAAGTGAGCTGTGCCAGTTTCTTTCCTCCAATTAACTGGGCAAAATCTGGGCAGAGAGAGCAACCATAAAACGTTCTCCTCTGACTCTTTGCAACTGCTGTCAGCCTTCAGCAGAGCACTTCATTCCCATCTGTCCTGTGCCATTACTCCAGGTTTTACTGCAAACCTATTTCTTCCTGAAACTTGAAACAGTATTTTAAGATGCTTTCAATTCACACCTAAGTTTAGTTCGGTTTAAACAAACTTAGGTGCGTTTTTCATTTCATTTCATTTCATTCCATTCAGTTCGGTTCTTATGGGCTGTTGAAATCTGGTGTATCAGGACCTAGACCACCTGTAATCTGTTGCAGGTTCTTTTGTGGTGTGAATGCAAATTGAAATTTAAGTCGGTAAATTACACAACATTAACACCAAATTATGAAGTTATCTCAGGAAAGTTTTTATAGTTCCACAATAAAAAGTGAGTAAAATGAGTAAAAAGGTAAAAGACACGCCACAGTAACTACACTCACAAAATGCCTCTTTTGGTCCTATTTCTTTTTTTATGACTATATGAGGTGATGATGATGACAAATATACTCATAAGAGCCAGTAATGTGCATCAAAAATGTACCTTGTGATCTTCTCTGGTTTATGATATGTGATAAAGAAAGCACCTTGGTCTCTTGTTTACTGAGCTGTTATCTACTTCTTCTTTGGTCTTTTGACACGTCTTTCTCCCAGGTACCCATCATAAAAATGTCCAGATCTCCCCCTTAAATCTATTACAAGAGATAATTGGTCACAAGGTTTTTCAGACATCATCTTGAATGTAAAACACAGACACACTCATTGGGGTTTGTTGAGGATTTCCATGGAAACAGCAGCAGTAACCATGGAAGTGTGGAGGCAGTGATTAAAGGTAATATGCGGGGTGCAGGATGTGCATCTGTGTGCGAGTGGGAGGTTTTAGGAGACATGGGGTTGAGGTTTCCATATTTGGGGAAGGCATTATGTAGGATAATAAATGAAATGATAAGATGGAGTTCTTGTGTGGTGGGAGGTTACAGAGAGGGTGAGTCACAGAGATAAAGAGAAAGAGAAAGCCCAAGAGAAGATGAAATACATAAAAAAACACATCAGAGGGTGGGGAAGAGAGAAAAAAAAACAGTGGCCTTTGGCCCAGCTGCAGTCGGAACTGACCTGGGCAGACTCGCTCATCTTCTGCTCAAACTCTCCTCCTACACGGTTGTACTTCTCAATGCACAACGCGAAAGACTCCGCCGCTTTCTTAGACTTCAGCTCCGCCTAGTGAGAAAGAAAAGGAAAAGGAAAATAATGGCCTTCAGATACAGACTCTCATTCACAAAACCTGAAATAATTACAGCTACTCCATTCAGTAATAAGTCCGTACCCGCAAAACAAGAACAGCAATTTATTCACAGAGCGGAGGTCTAAGAGCGGAGCAGTTATAAAATGTTGTTTTCCGTAATTATCAAGACAGGATGAATCTAATTACTTTAACCTCGATATAACAGACGCTCTTGTCCCATGATTGGACCACAAGAAACAAGCAAATAACGGATTTTCAGGTCACAAGACAGACAATAATAACATGACATCCCAGAGTTTACTAAGAAATATCGATGCAGGACACTGAATCCCGTCTGTCAAGATCCAGTTCACATCCAGCTGTGCACAAGATCATAGCTCTGGACTTGAATGTACTTTTATTTTTTTAATAAAAACTATTCCTGCTATTTGATTCATTTTTACGAAACCATTAAGAACATTAAGAAACCATAATCAAGACACAATTTAAGCCTGGCTCACTCAAACTAATATTATTATATTAGTGCATAGCAAGGGAATAACACTAATGTAAAATTAAAGGCCATAAAGTCAACTGTGTAGTTGCTTCAGCAGAAAAAGTAGTAAATGAAACTGAGTAAATGAGTTTAGAGTAATTTGTTAAACTACTATTTCCAAGGTCACGAATGAACTTCAAGGCTTAACTGTAAATTCTCATATTAAAGGCGGTATTAAATATAAATAATAGCCACATGCTTAACCAGCATGAACAATTAAAGGCAGGTTACCAATAAAAGACAGGTAACACTTATACAAATAATGTTTTTGTACTTTTAATTTATCTGACACATTCCTGATGGATGTTAAACTACTGTAAAAACTCATGTTTTTTCACATTAAAAGACTACCTAAAAAAAAAAAAAAAAACATGCTTCAAGACTTTTAATGTGAAAATTAATTTCATTCATTAAAGCCCCCCTATAAGGTTGTGTTTCTACCACCTTATTTCATTGATTTCAAGGGGAATCTGACTGAATCTGACCCGGCTGCAGGCGTACAGAGGCATCAGTATTATATTTATACTTGTTTTATAACCAGTTAAAAACTCCTTCAAGTACATTTAAAAGTATTCGGGGAAATGTGAATTTACAGTATGAGCCAACACCATCACCATCACACAGCTACATCTACATGACAACTGAGCAAACTCCAACCAC